TATATATATATATATATATGGACAGGGGGTGCTCTGCATGCACACCCTCATCTGATAAAGCTGTCCTAGTGCAGGGCAATCGCTACATTACCAGAGTACCAGAGAGAAGCAGATTGTGCTGTGTCAGGTATAAACAGTCCGCTCACAAGAAAGTTCAAACTATTGACTCTCCTATGTCCATAATTGTGCAAAACAGTCTTTTCAAGGTATCTTCTGTTCAAGAGCATGAGGATTCTATTTCTTTGTTCATCTTACAAGGATTGATATAAAAGTCTTTCCACTTGACCATTCCCAGGCTCATGAATAACCCGTTGGCACCCATGTAACACGTCACAATGCACTGTAACAGTAAAGAGGCCGGACACATTGAAGCTTGTGGCTCAAGAGGTGCAGTTTATAAAAAGCAGAACAATTCGCTCTTCTCCATTTGATTTGCGATGTTGGCCTTGGAAATGCAATGGTAGCAGCATTTTTCTTACGAATAATATCAAAGTGAACGGGACTTGTCCTACGTGGAGCTTATTTTAGAAGTTGTACTTTCTTCAACAGACTTATGAGCGAGGAAGCTTGGCGGGTGACAGTCTCTTCAGAAAACTGGTAATCTCGTGGACGTCAACGTGCACGAATTGATGTCTTCTGTGTGGGCGGCGCGGTGAAGGGAGGGCTCGGAAGCACTTCGGTTGATTTTGGGAAGTGAGTGTTGTAACAGCTCTATGGAGGAGAGGATCTAAAAAGAGAGAATGTGATCACAATCAGATTTATGAACGGTGAAAAAACCCCTGAGCTTTGGAAGTACTAAAGGTTCAGTCCAACTAAAGCCTCGTGGGCCAAGCCACCCAGCTTCCTCCATCTCTCATGGCTCTATTCCCAGCCACCATGGAGTAATAGGCGTTTCCACCCCTCCTGCTACATCCTTCACATCAAAGTAAATGGCCCAGGAACACAAGCACTGATTACCAGCTAATGGACTCCAGGGCGGGGGAAGCTCTCCAGTTATCTACCAAACACCAAAATATCAGCTTTTGTTGGTCTGACTGATGAAAAAAATGGAAATGTAGGTAGTCTTGAATTCAATGCAAGGAATCTAGTCACCTGCCTCTAGAATACTAATGCAGGGGTTCTTAAACATTTTAATTAGGGATGCACCGATACCATTTTTTCGGTATCGAGTACCAATACTTATATTTCGGTACTCGTCGATACCGAGTACAGATACCTGTACTAGCATAGAGCCGTCTTGCCGGGCAATCAGCATGGAACTTTTGCCCATGATTCACACATTTCCCCAATAAAACCTAGTTAAAAAAAAAAAAAAAGGTGAATGCTGGGTGGAATTTTTTTTTTTATAAATAGACCCCCCCAGTCCTTTCTGCAAGCATGCCAATCGGCTGCCCAAGTGGATCCTCCTGTTTTATGGTTTAGCTCATATATTTGAGCATACCCAGCGAGCTAAGGTAAATGTAAAGTGTTTCCTATAACTTTTCAGACGTAAATGCGGTTTCAGCTGCTGTCCTGGAGGTGGCAGCAGACACATACCGTCCAACAATGTCAGAACTACTACACCAACATAGGGAGATGTCATCTATTACACAAGACAATGACGTATACAGGTTATAAGAACACAAAGCTTTAAAGTAGGATTTGCACTCAGAATTTATGAGTTTTTTTTTTTACTTAATTTGACTTAATCTGTCCAAATGAAGAAAAACAAGCAAACATGCAGATGTCAATGTACTTACTTGAGGAAACAGCGGCCTATCATCCTTTAATTTCTGTATGCAGTCTGCGACAAGCCTCTTCATTGCTTTAGGACAGTTCTTATACAACTTGCTTAGATCAGGCACCATGCAACCTCGGCCAACCAAAAATATGATCTAAACAAAAACCAAAACAAATTGGCTCGCTAAATTATTACAGATGTGCAAGCATAAAAATGGTGGGGCTGTGGAGGACAACTCAGCATTCTAATTGTTTGATAGAGGCTTTGCTGTTCAAATGACATGGCAGTTATATGAGGGCTGAGACTTACACCCAAAATATTTCTATGGCGATAGGAGGGCTGGAGTGCCATTTCATGGGCGCTGAATGGATTAAAGAAGAACATGGACGTGCAGTGGACATCGCAACACAAATCATTCTCAATGGACATTTTTAGTTGGCATAAACTTAAAAGACAAAACATTAAATATGCCACAAAAGGAGTGTCGCAGAGTGGTTTACACTGATCTACTGATCTACCGATCACACTGTGCCGTGCTTTAGTTTCATCTTACACTGGATCAAAACTGGACAGTAGAAGTATCAGCACGTTCCCCGAGTCCTGGGCTGCATATAGTTTACTGAACTGATAGAATCATCAAGACACAGTTTAGCTGATTTTCACAAGAGTGATGAGGGGTACTAGCAGGCCTGGATTCCCCACAAGGCCACCGAGGCCCGGCCTCGGGGCGGCAGGGAGCAGAGGGGCGGCAGCAGTGTGGAATCCCCCGACGCCCGAAACATACAGTAAGTTGCGCTTTCACGAGTCTCTCCTCACTGGCCGCCGATGCGGGGAGCAGAGCGGCAGGGTTAAAACTAACCCTGCCGCTCCGTGTACACAGTGAGAGGCGAGAGCTGTGCTCTTCCCATCTCAGCTATCACTGAAGTTCCAGCACAGTACTGTGCTAGAACTCCTGTATTGGAGGTGACAGGGTCAATAAACAGAACCTCTCACCTCCAAAGGCTATCACACAGGGGCTTGTTAGCTCCTGTGTGATGGCAATAAAGTTAAGTGACACTTTTTTTTAATAATAATAATTTAAAAAAAAAGAATTAAATGGAGAAAAATAAAAAAAGGTGATTAAAAAGTAAAAAATAAGAATAAAAAAGAAAATAATTGTTAAAAACAATAAGATCAAAAAAATAATTTAAAAAAATAGCTAATAATGTAAAAAAGTAAAAGAAAAAAAAATGGCGGGGAGGGGGGGTGCATTGTGGAACCTGGCCTTGGGGAAGCAGGGAGAGTAAATCTGGTACTAGAGTTTATGCAAATATCCTTTACCCATTAATATCCACCTGCAAATATATGTTCTGAGACGAGCTTCCCTACTATTTATCTAGGATCCCCTGTGAGAATGAACTTGGACCTGTTAGCACATTCAGCTTTACGACTTGAATCATTCTAGTCGAGATGACACAATCTACACCAGACACTGGTTTCTGTAAAATGGATTGTCTGATAACACAATATGATGCAGTTTGTGGAAACACTCACCTGATCTCTGTCTCTTATGTGAGAATAGGGCAGTTCTCCTGTCATTAACTCAAACAGGACCATGCCATATGAATACACATCTGACTGGAAACTGAATGGGTTATTGTCTTCCATTCGGATGACCTCTGGAGCCTGGGCGGAAACAAATACAAGGAACTATTACTGGACATAAATACAAAGCATTACACCCCATTACATGTAGCTCTAGTCACAGTAAATGTTGGTGGTCTGGTGCCCAGGTATGCCACTGAGGTATTACCTTAAAAACATTACTGACCTCTGCGCTGTGCGTTACATTACTGACCTGGCGGAGTTAAGTCCGGGGCAGGGTAGGGGTTAGGTGGGGCAACTGGTGGCGAGTAACTTTTAAGGCCTGGCTAGTAGCTCAGGACTTGAAATTTTGAGCCCTGCCTTAAAAGTTAAAACCAGAAGGTGCATAAGGTACATAACTACCATTGGACTGTATAGACTATCGATCTGGAGCTTACACATAAAAGATGTGAGTATATGAACTGGGAACACATAAGGGAGACTAGGGCTGCAACAACTAATCGATTAAAACGATAATAGTTGGCAACTAGTCTCATTATCGGTTAGTTGGGAGAGGGGGAGGAGAGAGAGAGCGCTCACAGCACATCCCCAAATGCAAATGGTGATAAAAGACAAAGCATACATCCTCTTCTGTCTCTGCCCAACTGAGATTTCCTTGTTTCTGTCCAGGTGGTCATCAGGACAGAAAGTGAGGAGGCAATCTCTCCAGGTGGTCATCAGGACAGAAAGGGAGGAGGCAATCTCTCCAGGTGGTCATCAGGGCAGAAAGGGAGGAGGCAATCTCTCCAGGGAAAACACAGGTTAGGAGCTTAGATCATTTTATCCAGGTGGTCATCAGGACAGAAAGGGAGGAGGCAATCTCTCCAGGTGGTCATCAGGACAGAAAGGGAGGAGGCAATCTCTCCAGGTGGTCATCAGGACAGAAAGGGAGGAGGCAATCTCTCCAGGTGGTCATCAGGACAGAAAGGGAGGAGGCAATCTCTCCAGGTGGTCATCAGGGCAGAAAGGGAGGAGGCAATCTCTCCAGGGAAAACACAGGTTAGGAGCTTAGATCATTTTAAGTTCCGGAAAACAGATTGCAGTGGTGCTTTGACATGCCAGTGTGCCTTCACATGTGTTTGCAATTGTATGCAATAAAAACGTTTGTTTTTAACCTAAATGTTGGAACAGCTTTAACTAAGAAGTGAGGCACTGGACACTGCAGCTGTCCCACGTCGGCTCTATATACCGAGAGCCGAGTGATCAGCTCATAGTCTCCTCTCTGCGGAGACCGATGCTTGTCAGTCACTGCTTCCTGCAGTGACTTCTCTGTTCCTCTAGCACTTATTGGAGGTACAGACGGGGAGGGAGAGGGCACAGCTGCCCTAAAGGTGCAGAGCCAGCTGTCACTTAGGCGGGAAGAGAGGGAGAGAGAGAGAGAGATTGATTTTTAATGCAACCAATCGATTAGTTTAAAAAAATATTTGGGCAACTAATTGGTTATGAAAATAATCTTTAGCTGCAGCCCTAAGGGAGACCCACACTAATCAATCAGATATGTCAGCCAGATCAATGAACCCCTCACCTTAGCTTTAACACTTATTAACCTGATCCTCAAATGTGTATACCAATACTATTGCAAACCTAACATTTCACTCCCTAGAACTACATCCTAACCCATACACCAACAGTGTCTTCATCCTTTCAATGGCATAGTTTCCGTGAAAGCTGAACTGTCAGCACCAAGAGGTACTAGTCCGACATAAATGGCATAGTGTTGATCTCCTGGAACTGAAAACTATTGATCTATCATTAGATGAGATGCAGTAAAGTCAGATTTGTTTATCTTTCCATACAAGAGTCCACTCAGCTCGCTAACCAATCCTTCAATCATTTGGGGTGAAACACTATTAATAAGGCCTTCTTTGTTGGGAGGCTTTAACAGCGGCTGGTAGAGTGTGTTTTTTTTTTCTTTTATACACATTATTACACAAGCTGCTTTCCATTAGCGCTTGTTATTTA